GGCCCGGGGGCACGCACAGCCGGCCCGGTGTGGCTGCCTGCGGGCCAGGTGCGATGAAATCTCTCGGTGTCTCTCCCCAGCTGTGTGAGAAGTTTACCGTCTGCGTGAACAGTATGGAAATGCTCGTCCAGAACAACCTCAACCTCCCCAAGGTGACAGAAGAAGACGGGTGTCTCTTCACTGGCTTTGATGAGGCAAGGAACTGCTATCCTTTCTGGGCTAATCCTATACACCTGGGGCAATAAGCCCCAGTGGTACTTTTTTGCCTGCTCCAAAAAACTGCAGAGGTTGACCTAAAGATTTGTGCCACTGGGTCCAGGTGGCTTTAGCATGGCATGGACCTCCACGCTCTGCATAAGTGTTGTCCCCTTACCTGCGCTGTATGCACAACATTGTGATCAAGGCATTTCTGAGCTGTCAGTGACCTTATCACCTTTCTCTCATTTCAGGATAAATGCTTGAAGAAAATCGCCAGCGGGCTTTACACATTTCAGCCATACCTTGAATACGTACAAGAAACTTTTACTAGTGAAAAGAAAAACGCCGAATTGCTGTGCTATGGCACAGGGCATCTGGCACATACAATAAAACAGATGGTGAGTTGGTTTTAAATGCCCTCCAATAATTGTTATGGCTTAGCAGTGATGTGTAGTCAGAAAAAATAGGATGCTATGTGAAGCTGAACATTTCCCACTTTCATTTCTCTCAGCAGCAACAGGTGATGGTTCCTTATGTTCAGATACTTACCCTTACGACTAACTTACAGGTTTTAAAAGCTTTTGTCTTCTTTTCTTAAAGAAACAACTCTTCTTCCTACTTTCTATTGGTATTTCTAATTTGCAAACAAACAACTAAATGCATCATATTGTTTTAAGAACAAATATACTAATGCTGCCTGGCTGATAGAAATAAGGCTTCTCTGGGAACTTGCTCCTAATTGTGGAACTGCAGTTCAGTCCAAGCCTTCTAATGTTGCAACCCTCTCAGAAGTAGAAATAAGTAACTTTTTTTAAAAACCCACATATATAAGAGCAAATACATTTTTACAATATTATTAATCTCTAAAACTCTCCAAAACAAAGTCTTAAGTCAAGCTGTATGATATATTGAGATATCAGTAGCTTAAAAATCAAGGAAGGTTGTTAAATTCAGCACATAAGTTAACAACTAAATAAAAGGTGCTGCCTATTGAAAAGCACACTTTTTGCTTGCAATCATCATTTTAAAAAAATCCTCTTTACAAACACCCAATTCTCTTTTGATTTGCTAAACTAAATGCTATTAATTTCTGACAGTTGTTCTCTTATGTTTTGGAGAGCTTTGAAAGATCACATTTCAAAAATTCACTTCATTCCTGCAGTTCTTACTCATGTTAATAACCCTTAACTTGAATACTTTGTCATCAGGGAAACTATTTGCCTGAGTAAGAACCACCCAGGTGAGTAAGGACTGCAGAAATTTCAGGGCATTATTTCCTTCAATGTGTTTTTTGGCATCTGCAAAGCCCATTGTATTTGTCATACTTCCTAACATATTTATTTATGTCCATCGTTCTTTAAGTGAAAGGGAGATGAACTGCTTTTTTCACACTGCACTAGCTAAGAAGAATAGTCCTGTCATAAGACAATAACCAGTTACTGGCTTCCAGATCGACACATTACTTTGTAGAAGTTCATTTCACAACTGAGGGAGACTGTCCTTTTTTGAAAATTAGAAAGATCGAGGTAATTGGCACAGGCAGAATTAAACACGGTGGTCAAAAGCAAAAGCTGTACTTGTAGAAACTACAGAAATTTGAACAAAAAGAGGAGCCTGGATCTCCAGGATGGAAATTTTTCTGTATGAGAGAAGCCTAGCTGCTATTTAAGGTAGGGACAGCAAGGACAGAACCTGTCACTTGTGGTCAGGTAGATCCATCAGCACGATACCTGTCCGCGTACCAGATATCGTCCAAAACAAACTTCTACAGCGTGCAACAAGGAGTTGGGTACACCAGTAACTGGGTGTGTGATATCAGAATCCACTTCCATGTGGTCTGGACAGAAAGAATATTCATATCTTCCTGAATTAAAAAAAAAATAAGTTCCAGAATGAGGTGAACGTGCTTTTGTCACTTGCTAAAGGGTGAATCACCTAAAACAGCTCCATGATTTGGTTTAGTAACTCCCATTTTCAGAAGTCACCCACCCACTTCACAGGATGAGTTCTTAAAAGGCATTTGGCTACCGAGTGCCCAGCATTGTCAGTCAGCATTAGGTACATCGCTCCTTTTGCTCAGCTTGCAGTTAGGATTCCACACACGAGTGAAAGCTGGTGACAGCCTCCCACATGCCTAAATGCCTGGTAAGTAAGAATTAAGCAGCTGAACAAGTTTGACATCTTTGGGAACTGTTGGTCTACCACAAAACGTGAGATTACTCCAAGGTCACCTAATGAACTCATGACTCAGGAGGTAGCAGCCAGTGCAGGTTAGGACAATCATGCTCAGCACCTTCCCAACTAACCATGCAGTTGGCAGATAGCAGAAGAGGTGTATCGATCTGTTCAGTGCAGTGTGTTGGACCGCAAGGCATTCAAACCAGAACAAACGGTACAGACCAGATGAGACCCTCCGCTTCTTCTGCAGTAGTCGTATTGGGTGTCAAGATACCTCAAACCCTGCCGCAGATGCCAGGCTGGAGGGATGCACAGGTCCCAGGGAGGTCTGTCGTCCGCAGCACAGAAGGGTGGATACGCAGCTGGTTGGGAACATATTATACATATAAACTGATGCTCTGCAACGAGCTCAATTACAATGTTTTAACCAGGGCACTCCAATGTCGGCTTTTGCACAGGTGATCCATCCCGATGAAGTGATCATCCCGGACCCAGCTGCACAGAAATCCCTCCGTGCAAAGCTGAGGTCTGATAAAGCCTGGATCGAGAAAATCACCACCCACCTCATCCTCCGAGACTTTACTTCGTTTATGGAGAAAACCGTGAGGGCCATTCGTTATTTGAAAAACATCAGGAGTGTCAGTGTCTGAATGTTTTAATTCAGGCACAATCCTTTGTCACAAATCTGCCATGTGGCTGATGACAGTGTTGTTCTGTTTTAAGAACCAGAAATAGTAACAATGGTTTGCATTTATATATATTCTCATTTCCTCCTAGGAAACTATTTATTATATTTAAATATTTATTTGTTTGTAATGTTTCCTATTTATATTTTCGATATTTAGAAATAACTTTTTAAGAGGACCTATTTTATTTCATTTCTAGTGGTACTACTCAGAATATCAACTCATTTAATATATATTCAAGAAAAAAAAATATTTTCAGAAGCCAGAAAAACTGTTGTATAACTTATACTTTTAAAATATTTGAGAGATGGTATTTATGACTTATTTATATTTTTAGAACAAATAAAAGGTGATTTTAAAAAACCTGTATCATTTGTTTGAACTTTAAGTAAGACTAAGGAATTCTAAGGTATCCAATTTTTAATACTTGCAATTATCAAAATAACCACTTTCAAGAATTTGAATTTTATCTGTATAATTAGGTCAGTTATCTACACAGCGCATAGGTACATACATACACAGCTTGATCAACATATAATTCTTAAAAGGGGATATATAAAGGAACCAGACACACTGAACATGGTACTTCAGAATTAACACAATAAAGCATCATTGCTCTTGAAAAACAAATGAGCAATGAGTCCTCTACATTTAATAAACAACACTCTATAAAACTGTAATTGCTTTTAAGCAGATACTCACAAGTCAAGCAATCTCTTAAATGAATAAGATGGTAAGATATCTAATTAACAGGTTTAACATGAATACTGCCATCTGACTAGACTTATTGCTGTCATCCAAAGGAATTTTCCAAGTTACATTAATCATCTCTCCCCCCACAAGAAGCAGGAAAAGAGAGTCTTAGGTTCTTCTGTTAGGTGATATAAATCAACACATTTCTGCTGACATGTCAATGACTGTTGACAATCTCATACATTTGTCTTCTGTCATTTATATTGCACTAGCACAGACAGGCCACATAACATGAATGCAAATTACAGAATATACTGTAAAGAAAAAACCCCCACATCCTCAGCCTGAGTACCAAACCACTGAAAGGTTCCTTAGCTGTATCACCTGCTTCTCTGTGGCTGTGCATGTACCTTCTACACCCAAACCCAGAGGAATTTCAGCTTACAGCACACACAAAGGATGCAAGTGGCCAGAGCCCCTTGAGCTTTGTCTCTGCAAATGGTAGAACATTAATTACCTTCTCTTTCAAGCAGCACAGTGGTGCAAATGAAATGAAAGGCCAGCCCTGGAATGTGGATAAGGAAATCAGTAAATTCTCCTCTTCCTCTGAGATCAGACACAGATGCATTCCACCACGGGGGATGCCAAAACAGTGACCAGTACACCCAGAGCCTGCATCTCAGAGGCTCAAACCAAACCACGGCTTTGCCCAATATTGTAAAACCAACGTCTCGAGTTGTGCAACATCTCACCAAGGAATGAGAAGACCTCAAGGTGGTCACTTTCAAGATGTCTGTGGTGCATGGGTTTTTCTCACAACACAAAAGATCCCGCTTTGACTGTCCTGGCATGTGCTCTGGGAGATACAGGAAAGCCTGGTTTGGCTTTTTTACAGCTTACCTTCACTGAGATTTTCTTAATGACCATTTGGTTAGATACCATTACGGCCATTACTATGTCCATAATAGCTATGAGATCCAATTGTGGATCCCCTGTTGGACCTTTAAAGGACATTATCATTACTACGTAAGAAGAGAGTGAGAAGAGGCAGAAATGAAAGAAAGACAGCCAGCCAGGCCGACCAAAAAGAAAGGCATCTCCTGGTCTCGCCTCTCCCAGTAGTGGGTGATTGCCCAAGATCAGCATTAGTTACCGCGTACACTGCTGCTAAACAAACCTCACACTGATTTCCTCCTTGAATTCCAGGAGGTATCTAAGATACAGGGTACTGCAACATCGCACAACTGACAGACAAGCGACCTCACTTCCCACCGGCACCCTTCAGCTGGTGGCCACCCCAAGTTGTCCACAATCCTAGTAAAGATGTAAATGCTAGTACATTTTCAGATGTAGAAGATGAGCAAAGATTACCACTTGCTGGGAGGGATGGTCAACTTTCCAGTCCTTCCTGGAGTGAAGGGTATCGCTGATGCTGCCACTGAACTGCCATCATTCTACCTCCAGCTCCTCCACAGCCACCCACAAATCTCAGGATACTTCAACGCAGCAGCTGCCTTCTGGCCATCGTCCTGCTGCCACTGTGCCAACACCAGGGACTGTCCCCAGGATAAGTACCACTTGCTGAAATCTATGCACGCTGGTGGTGCCTGTGACACATGAAGACTCACAGTGGGGAATTCATATGGAAGTCTGAGAACTAAATACCGTTGAGCATGTTATGGCACCTCTCAAACTAACCAACTATCTTCATTTTTCCAGTTTGCTGTGTAGAAAGTATTTTACAACAATCAATAAACACATGCAGACATTTTAGTTGGCAAACCAGTGCAAACACATAAAAAAATAACTAGGAAAAATTAACATTCCTAACTTTTATAAATCAATCCTCAAAAATAAGTGTGCTACTTTTAGCAACAGTGAAATATCTCAATACTTCTACCTGAAGAGAGTTCCTCCTAACTGACTGAGCAAGGCAAAAAAACCCAAAACCAAAACAAAACCAAAAAACCAAAAACCAAAAAGACCTGCTAATACTGCCTATAAAAACTAGAAAGCTACCCAGCAAAGGAGTGTTTTGGCTGCTTGCTGTACAGGACAAGCCTCTCCCTTCAGATCTCAGGTAGTCCTTTCCCATGTTCTCACTGTATCCCTACTTGTTAACTTCACAGAGATTTCAGAATGCTCAGCAGATCACTAACTCATTTAATTCTGAATTTGCTTTCTCAACACAGGAAAAGGGTAAAGCTATGTTAAAAAGCATGCATACACTCTACAGTATGCAAGAAAAAGCCCACAGTATTAAGAAACAGTGTTAAAGATGAGAAACAAAATATTCCTTGGTGCTGTGGACATGACACTAAAATCCTAGACAGGGGAGGAAAATAAAATAAAAGACAGAATGCAAACTAATACTAAGGCAATCTGTAATGCAGAATTTTTTTTTTTTTGCAATTGCAGTCTCTGAACTATAATTTTTCTGTTTCTTAAACCATATTTTTTTGTCAGATGTGTAAGAAACTTGAAAGAAAAAAAAAGAAAAAAGAAAAATAGACAACACTTCAGCCCGATCCACTTCCCAGGTTGCGGTACCATTCCCTGTCCAGTAAGCCTATGTACTGATGTAAACACTAAATTTTGTCAGGAAGGACAACAGATACTTGAAAGAGATGTTCTGCATCTCTAGTACCTTCACAGACTTTATTAATGGCTGATGGTAAGTGAGGTTAGCAAGACAGAGCTGATGCTACAAGAGATGAAAACATTAGGCCACCCATGAAGCAAGAGGAACAGGATCACTTTCCAAGCAGTAATGAGCCATGAGGTTGGCTGAGCTCAATCAGAAACTTCCCCCTAAGTTTGCCACTGTTATTTGTGATTAATAATTATTTTCTGCATTCAATTTAAAAGATAAAATGGTGGAAAGGGAAGTATTCAATAGCATGCATGGAAGTCAGATCCTAATGGTCAAGAAGTGCTGCCAAATACATCTATATTACTACAAACCTTGTGATATTTGGGGGGAACTTTTCTGTAGATCCTTGCTTCTCGAGTCAAACAATTAGATAACAATTTCTGATCTCTCTCCATGAATTTCTTTCTTCTTCCCAGTAAAAGAAAAACCCACCCCCTCACCCTCAGAGAATGCAACCTCTAGATGCTCAAACATTGAAATACCACTTCCTCCCTGAACTCTTAACAAAATCAACTGATTTTGCACAACTTTCTCTGTACCCTCCTTACTGCAGGGGGGTTGGACTAGACGACTTCCATGGTCCCTTCCAACTCAAACTATTCTATAATTCTATGATTTCTGTAATCTAAACATACTTTGGTGGTCTCATCAGATAACACACTACACGAATTTTCCAATCCGATTTTGTATTCAGTGACCAGAATCTAAGAAGATTCAATCTTTCATGAGAAAATCAATTTTAAAAAAATCATTAATCTTCAAATTCAGAAAACTAAGATTTGATTTGCCCTGCCATACTTATTTCTACCAGACAGTGCTTACCTAACACAGTATTTTCAATATTTTATTCCATTTCAACTGTAACAAGTGCAAAATTCTGACTGGTTTCAAAACCAGCAAATATATTTGTTGTTTCTTTATCTCTTTGAACTTAGGTGTTAATAGATACAGTTCTACATTCTGTACCATATAAATAGGGAGAATACAATGTATAAGCTATATTAACAGTTTTATTACCTGAGAGAATCACTGAAGAGCTGTTACACACAAAAGTAAAATCATCTAAGGAAAGCTCAAAGTCCCATTCTCAGCTCAAAAGGGAAAAACTAGCTACTACGCTGTCACTACTGTATTGCAATAGTCTTTGTCTCCTCTTCCACTTCTACTAACAATTGGGGAAGAGATCCAAAGGAAAAAGGGACCACGTACTGACTATGCCTGGGGATCCCACACTAGCACCTCTTAACAAATACAGTGAAGTTCAAAGATGTCCCTCAAACTGCAAGACCTACGCTTACCCCTCCTAATCATGTACCTCAGTGACCTGGAACAGGGCTATTGAGATAAAACGGAATTCGTTAGAAAAGAGACCATTTGCGATGAAGGCAAATACACAGTCAGTCTTCCAGTCTGGCTGGCAAGGGAGTGCTTTCACTTTGCACTGTCACGAATTGCACCATTTGGGGGGTCTCTACAAGAATAAAGCGGATTCTGAGAAACAGAATTGGAACATTAATGGAAATCGGGGCTTTTTGCACTTCCCAAGCTAATAACTGCTCCCTGCTTTGCAGCTGCTCAAACTTCTTATTTTTGATAGAAACTTGGAATTCATTTCTTAATCAGAAGAAATAGAGAGTAAAACCCC